TACAACTTGCTTGGGACAGGGAAATCATTTCCTTTCCTTCAGCCCGTGTCTCTGTCATTTGTTCGTGCCTACTCTGTGCAAGATTTAATAAGCTGGAAACTACATGCAGGCGACAGCAGAGCAACAAGATAGAGGAAACCCAGGCCACAGAAAATTCTGGAGACTTCCTGGCGTTTGACTTGGAATGTTTTGAGGGAGGGAAATACAAATCCCCTTATGTCTAAGGTCCAGTAGTGATCGCAGTTTAGTCATGCTCGGCCTGTTGTAACAGGGACCCACGTTTAGTGGCAGAGTGCAGGCAGCCTGACTACACTGAGGGTGGGGCTGGGGAGCACATGGAAAATTGATTGAAAGTGTGGAACTTTAAAGGGAAGAACATGTTGGATAATAGCAAAAAACCATGTTTGGCTCCAGAGAGCAGAGATATAAGGCCAAAAAGAAGGGACTAGATCTTGTGACCCCTCTGGCTATGATAGTAACTTGTGTTGTTGAAACCCAAGGGGGGGTTGGTGCAGAGCAGATACTTGTTGCACAGAGATTTAGGTATTGAGGTGAGAACTGTCAAGGAAGAAAGGAATTTTTTACAGATGTCTTGCGGGGAGAGCTGGAGAAGCTGTATCAAATCCATCTCTCCGATTAAGGTATGTCTCACAAGGGGTCAGGTTATGGGTGATGGAGAATGTTGGCATCTGGGAGTCTGCTCCAGGGGCCTGCAGAATTTCACCCTCTTTATCTTGCAGAAAATCTATCTTTTGGGGGAAATAATTCAAAGGTCAAGTAGTTAGTTGAATCAGGGGTGGAGCTTATATAGGGGTCATTGAAACTTGTTCAGTGGGAGCCAGTTGTACTTTATCTGCTTACTGTAATTTGGCAGAGTGATGGGTAGGTTATTTGTACATGTAATATATAAATTGGTTTGCTCAATGCCCAACTAATTCACTTTCCCTCGCCTTTTTCATTATCAAAGCTAGAAAACAGAACTCTGAAGTTCCTAGCCTTCTTTCCTACTGGGGTGGCCAAGTAGCACAGATCTGGCCAATAAAACACAGGTTAAGTGTTCTTTTCTTTTTCTTTTTTTCTTTTTTTTTTAGAGACAAAGTTTCACTCTGTCACCCTGGGTAGACTGCCCTGGTGTCATCAGCTCACAGCAACCTTAAACTCTTGGGCTTAAGAATCTTCTTGCCTCAGCCTCCTGAGTACCTGGGAGTACTGACATGCACCACCATGCCCAGCTAGTTTTTCTATTCTTAGTAGAGATCGGGTCTCCCCCCTGCTCAGGCTGGTCTGGAACTCTTGAGCTCAATCCACCCACCTCAGCCTCCCAGAGTGCTTGGATTACAGGTGTGAGCCACTGAACTTCGCCCAGGTTGAATTTTCTGAGGAGAGCTTCCTCCTTAAATAAAAAGGTAAGCTCTCTCTGAAAGCCTTTTGGCTTTTGCCCCTTCCTTTCTTTGCCTAGAATGCAGATATGACTCCTTGGGACAGAGCAGCCGCTTTGTGACCTGGTATGAGGTCAGA